GGGCCAACCACTCACATTCCAATCTCCCTCTCGCTCCTCCCCTTCCTCCTCCCCCTCCCTTTCCCCTGGCCCCTTCCCCTCCTCCGCCCGAATCCTGCACCCTCCTTACCTTCACCCTCCTCCACTCCCACTCCTCCTTTTCCTCCTCCTTTTCCTCGTCCTCTTCTTCCGCCTCCACATCCTCTTCCTGCTGCTGCTGCTGCTGCTGCTGCTCCTTCTCCTCCTCCTTCTCCTCCTCCTCCTCTCGAGAATGCCCCCCCCCCCCCCCCCAAGCGCACACGTAGGTGGCCACGTCCGAGTAGCGGACGGCCGACTTGTCCTCGCGGCACGCGGCTCGGCGCTCCCCTCCGCAGAGAAGCGACGGGCCCGGAGAGTTTTTTTTTCCTGCAGCGATCAAGGGCCGATGATGAAAGCTGCAAGCTTCCCAACTCGCCATCACTCGGACGGCCATTCCGTGCACTTTTCGATCTCGTGCGCGCACTTGTTTTCGCAAGATGATCCGAGATGCTCCTCTATGGTCCCCGCCGGGAAAAGATGCACACGTCCGAGCGATGCCAAGCCACCTGCTGGGGAAGGGGGACTCCACCACGCCAGAGCGTTTGCTGGAGAGGGAGGGGGAGGAGGAGGAGAAGGAGGAGGGGAGGAGGAGGCGGAGGAGGAGGGGGAGGAGGAGGAGGGAGGAGGAGGAGGAGGAGGAGGAGGAGGAGGAGGAGGAGGAGGAGGAGGAGGAGGAGGAGGAGGAGAAGGAGGAGGAGGAGGAGGAGGAGGAGGAGGAGGAGGGAAAGAAGGAGGAGGAGGATGCCCGAGGCCCCCCCCAGCGGTCGCCTCGCGGTGTGCGGGCCGCCGAGGACGCGCGAAGCGAGAGGAAGAAGCACGCACCGTGAGAAAACGCTGGCAGAGAAAATGTCCCAAGGCGCCGCGCGCGGGATCCCCGTGGCCCAAGCGGTCAATCAGACGGTCCACACGGTGGCAACCAGGAAGGGGGGAAGAAGAGAGATCGAGAGGAAGGGAGAGAAAGAGCGAGAGATAGAGAGAGAGAGAGAGGAGAGAGAGAGAGAGAGGGAGACAGAGAACGTCAGCCCACAGCGCGGCGTGCGATACGCCATGCAAAAAAGCGAGCACCCGGCAGCGCGATCACAACCACGGATGGCTCCGCGCGTCCACGCGCCCAGCAAAACGGAAGTATCGCTGGTCTCGTGGTGGCCCCGAGGCGCCGAACACCACGGGCCGCGACGCGATGCCGCTGGCCCGAAGCGCCTCAAGAGCACGCATGCACACGGCAGGAAGCCTGGCACGAGCGGGCCGGCACGCGGGGACAGAAGACGAACCGTTCTCGTGGAACCCTGGGGCATGCACGAGCGGAGCCCAGAGAGAGAGAGAGAGAGAGAGAGAGAGAGCGAGAGAGGGCGAGAGAGAGAGAGAGGAAGAGAGAAAGAAGAAGGGGGACCTACAGCCGGGGCGTTGACCTAAGGAACCCTAAAGGAGGAGCGATGCCCCCTTTTTTCTACAACTTCGATTTCCCATCGAAGACCTAAGGGGAAACCTGAGCCAAACTGTGAAACAACTCAGGAACACGGAGCCACCTCCCGACCCGAACGAGAAGGGTTCCTTCTTCAGCGCCCCGATGGTACAGGAAGTCCAGAGCACGCGAAACTAACACTCGGCGCACCTGTTCACGTAGAGCCCAATGGAGAGAGAGAGAGAGAAAGATGCCGTCTGAGATGAGCAACTCCTGTCCCGATACCCGGCGACGTCTTGAGCAGCCGTTGGGGCTCCGGAGTGTGTGGGACCACACGTACCTTTTCATAAACTGTCGTGGCAAATCCTGTCGGAGCCAAGCGCGCAAGCGTAGAGCACAGCAGACCACGACAGATGAAGCGATGTTGGAGCTGGTGGCATGGCCGGCGTCGGATATGACCTCGAAGCCGGATTAGTGTACGTGGTGTAGGAGCTGGAGTCGAAGCAGGAGCAAAAGTCGGATATGGAGTTGGAGACGGAGCAAGCGTCAAGAGGGGCCTCGGAGCTGGGGTCGGAATCGGAATCACATCTGCCGACGGTAAGGTGGCCGGAGTTAGAATCGGACCTGGCGCCGGAAGAGAGGTTGGAGCTGTAGGCGGAGCCGAGGCATGAGTCGGAGATAACGTCGGAGCCGTAGCAAGGGACGGGAAGGTTGATGAACGGGAGTCGGAGCTGGAATCGAAGTGGCAATAGGCGCCGCCGTCGGAACGGAGGAGCGAGGAGGCCAGGGGTGAGGGGGGCCATATGGAAATGAGCGGCAGAAAGGGGGGGAGGGAGGACAATGAGGAGGAGGAGGAGGAGGAGGAGGAGGAGGAGGAGGAGGAGGAGGAGGAGGAGGAGGGCGAGGAGGATGACAAAGACAAGGACATAACGCTCGGGGAGATGAGCCGAGCAAAGGCAAAAGCAGTCGGGCCCTTCAGGCCTCCCTTTGAATGCAAGCGTATGCAGGCCGGATCGGCACAAATCTGGATCCCGAGGCCTGCCAGGACGACCATGTGGGGCCTCTGCCTCTCACCCCCCCCACCGTCTGAACCGAGTCAATCAGGGTGGCCCCGCGGTGGAGGGTGACGCGCCTCTCCGAAGCTGGTTTTTGGGTCGGGGGTTGGGAAGCTGGCGAGGTCTCGTCCTCGCGAGACTCCCTCCCCAAAGGGCCTGGCGTCACAACTCCAAGCGCGTGCGAGATGGGAGGAACGCGCAACATACGAGGGCGGAAGGAGCGACGCGCCAAATGCGCGCATCTCTTGTGCTGGCAACATCAACGACGCCCCACATACGCGCCGCAGCTAGACATGTTCAGTTTTATGGCGCAAAAACATGACATCGATTATTCTTCTTCTTCTGTCGAGCGATTCCGATATCCATCCAATTATCGATCGCTTTGAATAACTGTGTCCTCGTGCCCTTCCCTATGAAATTGTGGAGTGATTTTATCAACTGTCAATCTCCCTCCCGGCATGAGAAACTCATGCACCTGGTCCTGCAATTGTGAAATGTCACTTATTCAGCCTCCCGCGGAACCATATCTGTCTGGCGCTTGTTGGTTTTGTTTTGTAGGTGGGTTGAACAAACCGTCAAACATTGCCTGCACAATGATCCACTGGTGTCGCGATCGGCGAGAATACGTTGAAAAGCGCTAATGCATCTTTAATTTACTGATCTAATTCTTCTAAAGCGCATTTCTCTGCACTGGCCACGTCCTCGCCGAGCTTTTCGATATACAACAGTCTGTCAACATTCTTGACGGGCATCAAGAAGAAACCGTTGTTGTAGCCAGGCGCCAGGAACTCGTACCAACAAGTTGTCACGTCCAATTGGTTTTGCAATCTGCTCGCATGTGGGCGCCGTGCTCCCTTCATCCTTCCCAAGGGCCGTCTTTTGATCCACCGTATCCTTTGCTATCTGTGTTTCCTCGTCTATCGAATGTGCCACGCCATCACTATTTTATTGCTGCTTTCCAATTAGCAGAGCTCGCTCGTGATCTAAGATCCTGCCTGGGTTCTCTTGTCCAGACAGTGGTCCGCTCACGGAATGTTTCCAAACATTTCTTTTGAATTGGTATTTGCGTGCACGTGTTCTTCGTGCGCTCGTCACCCGTCGCAGAACGAATGGTTTGCCAATGTGTTTATCTGCATGTCCATTGCTGGTGGCACTTCCCGCGGATGAGTGTGAGATCCATGCCCGCTTGTCCATGCACCGTTTTGCGTGATGCTGTTCTCAATGCGTTCGCTGATCTAATGATCCTCTGTTCTCTCCAACAAATTGCCGGGGGAACGGGGTTACTGAGCGAAATGGCTCTGACATGCATGGAAGTAGCAAAACGCGGAGCGATACTTCAAATGCACATGCACGTGCAGCTCAATAGAAGCATGCAACCAAACACGGAGTTATGTGTACGGTCCTGGGGGGTGTGCTACGGTGCCCTCTCCCCTCCTGGTTTCGGGGGGTGTTCCCGTGGCCCTGTAAGATCGGCTGTAAGCTTGCGCGAGTGGGCTCGGTCGGGAGGACAATCTTAAGCCCTTCACGCCGACTATGATGATGAGGAGGAATGATGATGACGATGGTAATGATGCTGCTGATGATGACGATGGCGACGACGATGGTGATGCTGATGATCATGATGATGCTGGTTATGACTATGATGGTAATGCTTACGATGCTGTGGATGGTGGTTGAGATGATGATGCTGCTGATGACGACTACGATGATGGTGCTGAGGAGGATGATGATGCTGATGCGTATGAAGATGGAGGTGGTGATGAAGAAGAACATGAGGCTGATGCGGATAATGATGATGATGCTGATGCTGCTGCTGATGATGGTGATGGTGCTGATGATGATGATGGTGATGCTCTTGGTCATGTGAAATATGTGGCGGCGGTGAGGGGAACGAGGATGGCGACGAGAAGAGGGGAAACAGGGTGAGGAGGACCGGGAGGAGGTGGGAATTCAGAGAGGATGGGGCGAGGATGCGACTTGGCGTTTTTAGGTTGGGGACGAGGTGGCCAATGATGATACCGCTCATGCTGATGCTGATGATAACGATGGTGCTGCTGCTGCTGACGACGACGACACTGATCATGAATATGACGGTGATGACTTTGATGAGGGTGATGACGATGCTGATGAAGATCGCACGTCGTCGCGAGACAACTGGCCAATACCTCCTGGGCCGTGCATCCCCTGGGGGCCGAGAGACATCCTCAGACCAACACGCAAGGCACTTCTGTATTTTTACCATCATCGGAACGCCCTGTGGCAGAGAGAAGGAAGAAGGAGGGGGAAAGGAAGGGGATCTTGCAACTAATTAATCCGGCGCGCCCGGGCGCGCCGCGAGCCGCAGCCGCAGCACCCCGCGGACCGCGGCAGACAGAGCCCCAGCTGACGCGGGCGTGGAGGCGGCGAGCGACCCTAGCGACGCCAACAAGCAGATGGCCCTGGTGTTAGGTCGGGCATGTCCCCCCCTACAGGCGGATTTTGGAGGAAAACTTTAAAACAGTCACGGCATATTCAAACATGGCCAACAAATAATACAAAAATCGTCCCTTGACTAGTTTTTGCCTATTCTCGAATTGCCACGCAGAGGTCCCGTCCACTGGACACTGGTCCGCGCATTCCCAGACGCCCAGCGATGTGTTTTTTGTCCCGAGCGGGGCCAGGACGAGGGTAAGTCCGTCCCAAAGCTTTCCAGAATGCTCTCAGAGCGTACCGGGACGCTCTGAGAAGGCCGCGGCGCCCGATACCTTCTCCAGAGCTGGGGGGCCTCAGAGATTCTCGACCTATCCTCACCCGAATTTGCCCTCGTCCTGGCTTCGTCTTACCAGAAATCGACCCCTTACCCTGGTGGTAGGTTTCCCCCCTGGCTCCATTCTTGATTGCCCCACCGGGCCCCAAGACCAAGATCTTGGGAGAGCGCCCGGACTGAATAATTAGACCATATCGTCGGGAATCTGGGGCAAACACCGCCCAGGCCACCGAACACCGCTGCCTCTGCAGCGGCGGCGGCGGCGGCAGCGGTGCCCTCCTATGCGCCGCGCGCCCGCACGCACGAGAAGCCCCGCTGTCCCTGCCGCCATGCACCGTCCCGTCGACCGAGCACGGTCCCTTTCAACAACGCCCAACCCAGCGGACACCGCTGCCTCTGCAGTGGCGGCAGCGGCGGCTGTGGCAGCAGTGGTCTTCCTGCCCGCCGGGCGCCTGTGCGCGTGAGAAGCCGTCGGGTAGCAAGCTTCGCTGCCCTGATACGCAAGACGCAACCCAAAGCGTGTCGACACGCGGATCAACACGTCACGTACAATCAACACGTGCGCTTGGCTGCGTACACCGGCCAAAACGCAGGCCCACATGCGGAACCGAAACGTAACGTCTCGACCTGGTACGTTTTAATACGGAACGTGCTGCGCTTCAGCCCGGGCGTCTCACGGCAGCTAAGAAAGGGAAGTGGCCAGGGGGTCTGAACTGGTCGGAACCATGGAACATCGGTCTGGAAAGGGGGGATGGGATGGACCCGAACCCGGCCAAAATCGGCCCCCGGACCCTTCCCGGGGTCCATCTGGTGTAGGCCTTCGCCCCAGATCCATCTTCCACACTCCTGGGGCCCGAAAGCGGCCCCTGGAGGCCGAAACAAGGAGCAGCATGCCCCCGCCGGGGAGGAGGAGGAGGAGGAGGAGGAGGAGGAGGAGGAGGAGGGGAGGGGGGAGGAGAGGAGGGAGGAGGAGGAGGAGGAGCAGAGGAGGGAGGAGGAGGAGGAGGAGGAGGAGGAGGAGGAGGAGGAGGGAGGAACCTCAGGGCGTCTCGGGGCAGCTCAGAGCAGGAAGCCTCCCCCGGCGGCCCTCGCGCCAAGCCCAGCGGTATGCCGCCAGGGGTCGGGCAGCACCCGCCGGGCACAGGGGCGGCCCACGAAGAGGGGCACTGCTCCGCTGCCCACCGCCTGCGAGTCGCGGGCCACGCCCTCAGGCTGCCCTCAACGGCGACGAGGAGGAGGAGGAGGGAGGGAGGGGGGAGGGAGGAGGAGGGAGGAAGAGGGAGGATGGAGGGAGGAGGGAGGAGAGAGGAGCGAGGAGGGAGGAGGAGAAGGAGAAGGGAGGAGGGAGGAGGGGGAGGAGGGAGGAGGAGGAGGAGCAGGAGGAGGAGGATCAGGAGGAGGAGGAGGAGGAGGAGGGAAAGGAGGAGGAGGAGCATGAGGAAGGAGGAGGACAAAGAGGAGGAAGAGGGAGGAGGGGCGAGGAGGGAGGAGGGAGGGGGGAGGAGGGAGGAGGAAGGAGTTAGGAGGGAGGAGAGAGGAGGATGGAGGACGGAGGATGGAGGCTGGAGGCTGGAGGCTTGAGGATGAGGATGAGGAAGAGGAGGAGGAGGAGGAGGAGGAGGAGGAGGAGGAGGAGGAGGAAAAGGAGGCGGAGGAGGAGGTGGAGGACCAGTATAACCCCAAGAGTCATCAACAATGTTGGAATAAACCCTCCCTCCAAGCTCGCAGGCCCATACAGCGCTTCGTTTCCATTTAGGGGACTGCCTCGTTAGACGACAACAGTATGAAGACCCTGAAGCATGCCAAAACATTGTTCTCGAGATTCCAACTCCACGGATCAACCAGACTGTTGCGTTTTGACGATCCTCAATCGTGCCAGGACGCCATTCCTGGGATTCCAACACAGCGAATCAACGCAACTGTTGCGCCCGCATCATTTTGAATTTCAAAACACCATTTCTGGTTCGTTTATGATGGGGATCCGTGACACCCTTGTATTTTGAAATCCGCGCTAATGCGAGAACCACTTTTCGAGAAAGAACCGCCCCCAATCCGTGAAACTCTTGCAACTTCTTAAAGCGAGTGTGCGCCGCGCTAATGCGAGAGCCACACTTTGGAAACCACTCGCCCTCGATCCGTACATCTCTCGCAAATGTTTACAACGAATGTGCACGGCGCTAAGGCGAGAACCACATTTTGAAAACCACCCGCCCTCAATCCGTGAAACTCTTACAAATGTCTAGAACGAATGTCACATTTTGAAAACCACCTGCCCTGCATCTGTGAAGCTGGTGCAAATTTGTAAGCCTCCGAATCATAACCGATGAGGGAGTCTCAGGCGAAACGCCTGGCCCGCCGCAAAAACTGGCCTCGGGGTGCGACAGGGAGAAGTACTTATAAGGACAAGGAATGGGGGATGAGGATGAGGAGGAGGAGGAGAAGGAGGAGGAAGAGGAGGAGAAGGAGAAAAACAAGGAGGAGGAGGCGGAGGGGGAGGAGGCGGAGGAGGAGGCGGAGGACGAGGCGGAGGACGAGGAGGAGCAGGAGGAGGAGGAGGAGGAGGAGGGGGAGGAGGAGGAGGAGGAGGAGGAGGAGGAGGAGGGGGGGGAGGAGGAGGAGGAGGAGGAGGAGGAGGAGGAGGAGGAAGGGGAGGAGGAAGCTGCGCATGCCCACCAACGGCTGGAAGCAATACGGACCAGCGCCGGGCCGATCCGCCCAGCTGGAGTGCGCAGGGCGGCGTCCTGCAGATACGGCCCCTCCACGGGGTCTGCGCGCCTCGGCGCCACGCAGGTGCCGCGAGCAGAGCACACACAGAGAGGGTGGTGCAGAATCTCTTGGCCACTGGCGGCGTCACCGATGGTGATGCTGCTCATGCTGGTGAGGACTGTTTTTGGTACCCCCATCCGCACACACGAGCGGGTCCACGAGCTCATCCAGCGGCGCAGGCACTGGAAACTCCAGGCCCGGGATGGTGCTGCCGCAAGGGGAGGGCGAAGCGGAGGGGGGCAATATGGTTCCGTCGTGAACGGAGGGGAACGCATGGGCCTTTCAGCCCAATTTCAACCCGCGCGGCCTGGCGGGGGTACCTCTGGAGCGCGCCCTCGCTCTGCTCGAGGGTCATCGCCTGCAAGCCCGTCCATCGCCCCCCCCCCCCTTCACATACTTGTGCCTGGCCCTTTTGATCTTTGCTCCCCTTGTTCCGCCCCACCCCCTCCTGCCCATCACCTTTGACGCCCATGGCCATCCCGATCAAAAATAACCACCATCCACCCCCCACAACACCAACCACCCACCACCCACCACCCACCACACACACGCGCACACACACACACAGCAATTGCGCGGCGTGCGTTCGTGACAATCGCACACGTGTGGCAGCATGCTTGTTTAATGGGCTTGGGTTGAAATTTGGGCTTTGCTTTCGCATGTGACTTGCAATCTGCTTCTGGCTCAATGTCGAGCGTTAGGTTTTAATTTCAGTTGGGCTCCCACGTATCATAGTAGCTCTGGCATACCATTTTCAATTCGAGTCCCCAAGCGCCGCCCAGCTGGATTTTGCTCCACAATTCTGTCGCATGTTTTGCAGAATCTGCCTCGGAACGATCTTAGATGGACTCAAACTTTGAACCAATGAGCCGGTTCCGCAACATGGAAAGCAATCGCCTTACTTGTGTCCGAAGCCATGTGTTCAGCATTCGCTCTCGCGGCGATTGGCTTCGGTTTGCATGTGCCTTACGATGGCCCAACCCATCTCGACGTTAACTTTCAGCTTTGCCGATAACCCGCCTACAGCAGTCCAGCGTTGTTGGACTTCCCTTGGCTGTATCTAGGCGTCTCCTTGAGATGTGGCTTCGGTTTTGATGTTGTCCTTCGCTTTAATTTTGGCTCTTGGGAAATGGCCCTTTCTTTAACTCTGTCGCTAGCATGTGCTTCATCTCGCCAGACCTCATTGAATCGTGGCTCCGCGGCGGCTTTTGCTGAGCATATCAAGAGCTCGTCGAAACGATGGTCATGCTTCAGGGGTCGTACTCTTCTTGGCCGCGGCGTCCTTTGGACTTTTGGCCTCAGCAACTACAACAACTTAGTCTGATGATTTAGATATCAACTCCCAATGACCTTTTGGTTTTCATTATGCTTTCGGTTTGTATTCGTTTCAACGTTCGCTTTCGCTCGTGCTCGCTTCGGCTGAATCTGTTGAATCGCATCCGCTTGCCAACAAACGTGCCGCACTTGCTGAAACTCTTGCGTTGCGACTGCCCCGATTACCAGCACGACGGACCGCTCGTACGACAAGTGGAAGGACGGTTCTCGAGTGAACAATGGAACGGACGCCCTACGTAGTAGAAGAATGTAGTCTTGTCGTCGTCGTCGTTGTTTAACGGCGGCGAATAGGGGGACGGGGGGGCGTCGTGACCGCCGCCCCCCCTGCCTCCCTCCTTCGAAACGAAACGCTTCCGATGAGGAGGAGGATGAGGAAGCTGCGGCACAGGGGCCAGGGGCGCCCGCGGGACAAAACGAGGGCCGCCCAGTGGAAGGTTGGGGAGACGACGGGGGGAACGAGGAGAACCACTATGGCAACGACGACGGCGAAGAAACGCCAGACGACGCCCGCTTCCGTTGCGACGAGGGGCTCTGGCAGACTCCCTTGCGCGCAGGGCACCATTTCGGTGGCGATTTTTTGGAGGGGCGGGGCCGTCGGTCCCCCGCGCGGTTGCGATGGGGCGCGTGATTGACAACGTTGGCGTCGAACCCGCCTCTCTCCGCCCTCCCAAGGAATGGGTGGGGGCTCGAAGTCGCAGGCGCGGCGCAAGCTCCGCGCGGTAATGCCGCGGCCGCGTCGGCAAGCCCGCGTGCGCGCGTGCTCGTCGGCGTAACGACAATGTGATCCGAGGAAAAAGAAGGGGGGACGGAAGACAGAGAGGGCGGGGGCACGGTAGGCGCGCTCGCGCCATAGCTGACATCCAATCCCTTCCTCCGATTGCGTTGGGTCTTCTCTATCCGCGGGCGAGTGTCTTGACGACCTGGACCTCGGACGACAGCACATCGTATTATGCGCGATCGGGGGAGGGGAACTGCGCACGTAGTAATTGTAGTAGAAGAAATAGTCGTGTAGTAGTAGTAGTAGTAGTAGTAATAGTAGTAGTAGTAGTTGTAGTAGTAGTAATAGCAGTAGTAGTAGTAGTAGTAGTAGTAGTAGTAGTAGTAGTAGTAGTAGTAGTAGTAATAGTCGAGTTCGTAGTCGTAGTCGTAGTAGTAGTAGTAGTAATAGTAGTAGTAGTAGTAGTAGTAGTTGTAGTAGTTGTAGTAGTAGCAGTAGTAGTAGTAGTAGTCGTAGTAGTAGTAGAAGTAGTAGTAGTAGTAGTAGTAGTAGTAGTAGTAGTAGTCGTAGTAGTAGTAG